CCCTCTTCTCTCTCTCCTTCGCTCCTTTCTGGTCCCACCCTGCACTTTGGCTTCCTCCTGTCTCTCTGGGCCTCCAGTGTGGCCTGTGCCCCCTGCCCCCTGTCACTCCTCACTTCCCTGAACGCTTGCCAGATTTTCTCCATGGCAGTCTCACACACACACACCCTCCATGGTGCTGAGGACAGACTTCAGGGACCTGCACGTGCCAGCCAAGTGCTCTACCACTAAACCAAACCCTCAGCTCTTGGTTTGGAGAGGCAAGGTCCTGCCATGTGACCCAGATTAACCTAGAACTCCAGTCTTTCTGCCTCCACCTCCCAAGTGCCAGGATGACAGCTGTGTGCTACCCTGCCTGTCTCCTGAGCCTCACTTTGGAAGGGCCACTCTGACTCCTCTGCCATGAAGCCCTCAGGGCTTGCTCCCTCCACACACGTGGTCCCTGCTCTGACAGGTGTGCCACTCTCTAGTCAGCACTGTGGGAGGAGCTCAGGGAGACTCACCTTGACCTGGAAGAAAGCATCCTGGGCACAGTAGCGGATGTCACAGGCAGTGATGAGGTCCACACCTGGAAGGAAGAGGCCAGGGACAATGCAGAGGGAAGGAGCCTGGCCCTGCTCCCCAGTCATGGCCGCATGCAGGGCCCCAGCAGCAGAGAGCTGAGAGTGGAAGCCCTGGCTGAGGGAGGGGAGGCCTCAGCCCTACCCCTGCCTAGGGGAGTGGGGGAGGCACACTCACCTCCACCAATGCACCCGCCATGGATGGCAGCGATCACAGGTTTGGGGCACTGGAAGGGAAGGCAGGGCTGGGGTCAGGGCTGAGGGCAGTGGGCAGAGGAGCTGCTGCCCTGCTGTGCCCAGAGTCACCTTCTCAATGACGGTGAAGGTCTTCTGGTACTGGGTGATGAGGTCACGGAGGTACCAGCTGATGCGGGCCACGTCGTCTCCCTCGGGCTGCAGCAGTTCTGAAGCCATATCCATGAGGTCGATTCCTGGCCAGGAGTGAGGAGGGGGTGAGGGGAGGGGAGGTGCTCACATAGCCTCCCAGCACCCCCACACCCCGCCAGGACTCAGATCCAAGCAAAATGATTGTACCAGCCACAGCAGAAAACAACTTGCTTAGAGCTTAGGGAGACATGGCATGGAGAGATAAAGAAGACTGCTCCTACTGAGCCTTCACTCTGTCTTCACAGAACCTTGGCAGGTCCTACAAGTGGTTCCAGTTCACCCGCAGGGAAACTGAGGCATAGAGAGGTTATACACTGGCCTGAGGTCACACAGGTGGTCTGGGAAGCAGGTGAGGGCAGAGACACTGAGTCTGCAAAGTTGTTTCCTGAGATGGGCATTCTGGATATGGAGCGAATGTTGTGCCTCTAACTTCCAGATAATCACGATAATCATGAATCTGACTTCACTTCTGTTTTTCTTTCTTTCTTAATTATGTGGTTTTGTTTTATTGTCAGTTGTGGGGCTTGAACTCGGGGCCTGAATGCTGTCCCTCAGCTCTTCAGCTCAAGGCGAGCGCTCTACCACTTGGGCCACAGCGTCATTTCCATTTTTCTGGTGGTTAATTGAAGATGAGTCTCACGGACTTTCCTGCCCGGGCTGGCTTTGAACTGTGATCTTCAGATCTCAGCCTCCTGAGTAGCTAGGATTACAGGCGGCGTGAGCCACCAGCGCCTGGCTCAGTTATGTTTTTATCTTTTGAGATAGGGTTCACTAGATTTCAGGCCTAGAACTCTTGACCCTCCACCTCTGGCTCCTGAGTGCTCAGATTCAAGGCCTGGACTGCGCTGTATGACTGTTCCAGCTGGAGTGTGGCTCAATGGTAGAGAAGCTGCCCAGTGTGGGCAAGACCTTGAGTTCCAGCCTGAAACTATGTGTTCCTATCTGATGGCCAGAAGAGGTCCTGGCTCCACACTGCCCTACGCTAGAAAGCTGAGCCATAGTAGAGGTCTCTGGTTTAAACTAGGACCAATACACACACACACACACACACACACACAAATTTTGACTAGAGCAATGTGACATAGGCCTGTAATCCCAGCCCTAGAGGGAGGCGGAGGCAGGAGGAGGATCCAGAGTTAGAGGCTACCCTAGGTTACATCTCTCTGAGTCCCCATTTCAACAACAAGTAAAACATGATATCATGTGCCTGTGTGTGGGAGTCAGCGGGGAGGCTGTTGCCCTGTCTAATGTTGA